TAACTATTATATCACTCTAAAAAATGTAATTAACATTTAGTAATAACATTAAACAATAAGTACATAATTTGCATAAAATATTAATAAAAAAAACACAAACTAGTTATCCAATGTTTTTTTAGTAAAGAAATACAATCGCACTCTGAAGATCCTATAGTCAAATTATTTAATTTTTTTTTTTATAAACAACAATTAAATAAAAAGGAGATTACAAGATATTGAGGGGACAAAGACCTGACTCAATTACACCACATCAAAAAGTAATAAACAATTTAAATAGATTATTACAATAATGTTAGGAAACAAAATGTTGTGTAAGTCTTCACAATTTTGATTGATGGCAAATGAATGGACACTAACATGAACCAATTTAAGTACCAACAACTCACTGCGTGAAATTAAAACAAGCATATAAAAGCTGTTTCAAGCCAAACAATTTTAAATTTTAACGAGATACCCATGCGTGTACAATCCAATAAATCCCAGTAGAGACATAAATTCAAATTTTAAAAAATGTAAAACGTAAAGTGACCAATACCAAACTTAGATTTTATTAAATTTTAACGAAATACTCATGCATCACGTGCACAATCCAATAAATCCAAGTAGAGGCATGAATCCAAATTTAAAAAATGTAAAACGTAAAGTGACCAACACCAAACTTAGATTTTAAAAATGGCGAATAAACTGGATCACCAACACTGTAACGAGAACATTAACCAACAATCACTAACAAATTCCAAAAAGCAATACCAAGGTCAAACAGTCAAGATTCCAAAATTGAAAATGAAGAAGAAAATATCAACTCATCTCCGTTAGAGGTCTGAACAGCTAACAAAATGCAACGTGAGTTGAAAGAACGATTCAACGAACATAGTTACATTTGAATCCAATCAGATAAACTAAATTTGAAACGAAACTAAACCAACAAACCAAATTCAATCCAGAAACATGAGATTCTTCCTTGTCTATCCATAAACTATCGTCGGTGTTAGATGAAAAGCAACGCCACCAACCAGAATTAGACATCAAAACCAAACACCAACATGAAATAGCAGAAAAACATAGGAAAAACACCATTGTTGTACTTGATCTTGTCATAGAGACCATCGACACAGAACCGACAACTCTCCAATCACGTCGGAAGCAAGCAAAAAAAGAAAATCGAAGTGTTTAGAAAGCTACTAACCGTCCAAAGCCAAACAAATCGGATAAACACCAACCGTCGACAACAAAGTTGGGAATAACAACTCCGAATGGATTAGAAGGTTGTAGTTTGAGAACGTCGCACCACCTCACCATGTGTCTAAATAATGGCCGAACAATTTTGATATAGAAGGGGTAAAAGAAAATAGAGAGAAGAAAGGGGTGGTAGCTATTGCAAAAAAGAAGATAGAGACGAGAGGTTTAGAGTTTCAAACCTTAATAGTTAATACTAATAAAAACAACTATAATTTGAACAAACAAAAACAAACTATTTTCTACGAACATCATAACCATTATGAAAAAAGTTGAAATCAAACTATAATTACATAGCAAGTTACCAATGTGCATCTTTGAAATATTTCGGAGATATATACTCAAATTAAATTATAATTACATAGCAAGTTACAAACATACATCTTCAAAATACTTCGGATATACATATCCAAATTAAATTTGAGAAAAATGAAATGACTCAGTCATGAAGTGCTAAGGTGTACGTATTATAGATACATTCAGAGATACATCTCCAAAATATAAAAAGACTCCAGAACCATACACCAATATGCCTTCCTATGAAGATAAGTCTAAACTTGTGAAGCATGGGTACTCCATTTTAAACAAAGTACCGGTACCGGATACCGGTACTCGTATGGTACGTATCGACACCGTATCTATTTTTTTCTTTATTGTTTCTTAAATCGGTACTTCAGCGAATACATATTCGATACATATTGGGTACGCGAACTATAACACTCTTTTCTACCCCACAATTATTAAGGCAAAATAACACAGATATCAGAGTAAATTATTAAATTCAATAAAAGCCACCACAAAAGGGCGTACATTTCTCAAATCAACAAAATAGGTCAAGGCTCCGTAAACAACGGGTTTTCCCAAAATACATCAAATTGCACAAAGCAGCGGAACTCAAAAGGCATAAATCAAGGTTTTTCTCATACGGGAAGATATCAAAATAAACTCAAAATAAAATATAGTTTAACTCAAAAGACCCCAAACCGATGTTACATGTCAGAGCAAGACCCTCTAAGTTAACCAAAAGACTAACAACTCAAAACTTCAAAAATACCCTCGACGGCTTCCACGGCTAAACCTGGTCATCTGCACGTTACCCGCTTGGAGGTAACATTCAAACAGGCAGGGTGAGTAAGACGATTCATAATAATCAATGTATAAAAATCAACATATAAAACGGCGTTATATCCATATTCAACACATTGATATCCTTCAATAGGCCTCGAAGGCCACAACATCATAATTCATACAAAAAGACTCATAAATCAAATGCAACAAGACTCAATGCATGTGGTACCAATCATCACAGCGCGATGGACACTGGGCCATCAATCCTCCATAGATCCTCATCAATATCATCGATTCTACTTGAAAACCGGAGCACATCAAAACACTTCACATCTACACAATGGGATTGAAGCCAAAATAATCGAGGTCCTGAACCGAAGTCCGGATGCACGTGAATGCATGATGCACACGTCAATAATCATCCTCATAATAACAGCATGGTGCATCATCATTCATCATATTCATCATCATCACAATCATCATCATATCTCATGTTATCATATAATTCATCAAAGTCATGGTAATATCATCATAGTTTTCAAATCCATACATCATAGAAATCATCATGTGATCATGTACACATCACATAAAACTCACAGTCATACTCATGTTAATTCGTCAAAGAAATCACAGAATCAAATATCAAGGCATCACTACACACGATCAACATTCGCGAAACTCTGCTACGTTCGGTGGCATGTTCGTTAGGCGAGTCTGGGGCGAGTTTCTTCGCTAGGCGAAGCATTCTTCGCTAGGCGAGTTTGGAAACAACATGGTTCGCTAGGCGAAGCATTATTCGCTAAGCGAACAGTGCGATAACAACAAATCCTGCTACGCACTGGAACCCAAAATCACTCAAAAAGCTCTATGATTCACTTTCCCAATGCCCCTAAAACATCCCTAAATCATCCCTAAGGTCTTACGGCGATAAAGACACAAAACCTACGGTTTATTAGGCCAATCCCACAACATATTCAAGCCCTAAATCACAATTTTTCCTTCAATTACACCTTATTCATTAGGATTACTCACTAACCAATATTCATATCCCTTTCAGGGTCAGACATATAACAATTCAAGTTTGGCCATGAAGGCCTAATTTTCCCTTTTTCCCCATTGAACTCACAGTCAGATTCACCAATCATAGGTTTAAGCCACGAAGGCCAAAGATCACTATTTCTCATATCTACCCTCAAAATCCCTTAAACCTTAAATCGACCTTAAATACATCGAAAGTCACACATGAAAAATCATGAAAAACTATACTCTCCATACCTTAATCGTCGATCAAAGCCTTCTCAATCCTTCTGGGAATCTCTCGGAACTTCTGCCTCCAATCCTCTCCTCAGAGCTCTGACCTCAATACTTTTCACGGTTCACAAATGAATCATAATTCCCTTCAGAATTTCCTTTTTGTCAAACCTAATCTTAGGTCAAACAATTGGGCTTTCCCCATAATACCCTAACTAACTCCCCTTACATGTTCAATTTGCCCTTATTCATCTTATATTTATTTTAATTAATAATAATATTAATAAATTCATATTATATACTATCAATTAAATAAATAACCCAAAAATGCATTAATTCTCAATATTCCACCAAACACCGAAAATCACCGAAACATGAATTTTTTCAATTAAATAAATTAATTAAAATATTCCAATTAAATTTGGGGTGTTACACGAACTCAAATATTTTGCTTCTAATGGTATAGTTTAAGGCTTTTTTTGAATAGATTTTTCAAATGCTGATGTATAATTTAGCCAATTTGATTTGTTGCAAGATCGATGGATCTTGAAACTAAAGAAATGGTGGATAACTTATAGATCTTAAATTCTTAAACTTCAATCCATTGCATTGAAACTCCATGGATCTTGAAACTAAAGAAATGGTGGATAACTTATAGATCTTAAATTCTTAAACTTCAATCCATTGCATTGAAACTCCTTGCACAGTCAAGTTCTAACCAAATTCTTCATTTCCAGCTGAGAGAAATCAAAGTACATATGAATTTATACTCGCATACCCATATTTTGATTTATTTAAAAATGACGTATTTCGTACCAGTACCCGTACGAGTACATACCCGTACCTTTGCAACGCAAATCTGAACTAATTGAAACCTCTAATTCTTGTAGTAAGACAGAATACATAAAGAAGAGTTCTGTGACTGCAAAATTCAAATTGTAAGTATCTCAAAGAAGACAACTTATCTTTTAAGTGGAACTCATTACTTACATGAGTCGAATCACTTGTTTAACACCAAGATATGATTCTGAATAAAATTACTATGTGAAAAACCATCAGGTAAAATCAAACAAATATAACACTTTAATCACTTTGATAATGTTCATTCAAAATCTCCCATTTAGTTTCCCCAATGAAGAAGCTTTGGTCTGCAACATGACAAGAAAAAAAATTGGCACAAACAAATGCCTTCTCTTAATCTTACAATTATAATCTCAAAAAGAAAAAAGAAAACCTTTAAAATACCAGCACTCACAGTCTTTTTCTACATCAAAACAAAGAGACATATTGAGTAGCAATCAACTAATAAAACTATAGAATAAAATTAGAAATTGCTGAAGACGCTTATTGTTTTCCAAATTACAAGATACCTCAAACCACCGACAAGATACCTCAAACCACCGGGGACTGAATTGCTTAAGTTGCTTTATTCTTCCGCTCTTTTAGAAAATTGTGAACCAGGTATTACTCGCCGCAAACAAATTGTACTCCTCTATGAAAGCATTCTCTTTCTTATTGCAACCATGATCTTTATCGTCTGGAAAACCTTTTGAGTTAAAATCTCCAACATAGTCTGAAGATGCAGCAGCTCCCTTGCATTGATTTGAAAAGGCTACTGGCCCGCCAAAATGAAACAATGAAAAGTCATTGTTACTATCTTGTGACTTGGCAGAATTGCCATGTCCATGTCGGTCTTCCCCGCTTAGTACTGCTTTTCTGGAATTAGCTGCATATGGAACGAACCTTTCTGCAATAGATTCATGCAAATGATCTTGCATAGATGATGGCTTAGAAGTTTGATTTAGTTCCTCTCCATTTAAGCCCTTAGCTCTCACAACTGGATGATAAACTGGAATAGCAGCATGGTTGAATTGTGGTGTCGGTTGTTGCAAGGAACCATACTGCAAGCAGTAGCGTGGATCCTCGTTTAAGTTATATCCAAGAGGGCCTGCATACATATACTGATTTGGGTGTAGAACGGGCATCAACCCATTTGTGGGAGCAACTGGTGGCCATGAAGCTGGATTTTGATGGTAATAACTCATTGTCGGGGGAGTTTGAAACACGGGAAAATGTATGTTTCGGTTTGCCATTGGAGGAAGCATGCTTTCAGGATGAGAGCGTACATTGGTGGAAGAAAAACCATTTTCAAAATTTTGGACAGTACCATTTTCAAAATTTTGGGTAGTTTCTAACACATGATTCCCTAACGATTCACTTTCTGCTATGTCTAAGGATGGAACAGATTGGGACTTGTTCGACAGACCATCACCATTTGCGTTATGAGTATTCTTGATCTCAGGTTCATAACAGCCAGACAAATCATTGTCATTGCGGACTGAACTATCTCTTACCTCGTATATCTGGCTAGCATCTTCAGAATCTGAATTTGAAGATTCTGTATTTTCACGGTTTGAAGAGGTCGTATTATTATCACCCTCACTAAGGCATGATGAGCAGTTATCAGAACTAGAAATGCTACCTTGACTGCGATCAGAAGAATTATTTATGGTAGATCTCCTCGTTTCTATGGAGCTGCAAGATCCTTCGGCTTCTGCATCAAGATCATTCTGACAGCCTTCGGTCATTCCACTTCTCTTCAAATCACTACCATCATTGTCAATTTCACCTGAATCATCAACTTCGTCAACAGGCGACCTGACCGAATCAAACTCAAATACCTTACCTGTGGACCTCAATGTAACATCAGAGTCTGAATTACTACGAGCATACTTGTTTAAAGATTCCGTAGGTTCCCAAACTTTCTTTGATTGAAAATAGTTCCCCGAGAAGACTCTGTTTTTGGGTCTTCCGCTACTCTCATGCATTGAGTCTACCTGATTGTACTTACTACCACGATAAAACTGTTTAGATGTATCTACAGTAGATTCAGACTTACTAGCAGCTTTCATCTCCCAACTACTTCTGGTCATTCTATTGTTCAAGCTACAACTGCATGAATGGAAATCATATTTTTCACTCATCCGGTAGTTGGAACTATAGGGTTTCTCGTTACACTTATGACCAATGTTACGACCACTGGTTTTCGGAACATTTATTTTTGAGTGTCTGTTCAATACATTGATTCCCCTGGAAGATGTTCCAAAATTATCTCCATAGTGTCTTGGCTCAGATCTGTCAGACCACTTTGAAGACATATCAGGTTGAAAATCTTTCCTATATCTAAGTCTTTGATTATAAAACTTTGGCTGCTCAGCTGTAAAAGTATCATTCCTGTCATGAGCATTTGCAATGTCGTCTCCATCATAGTCACCATAAGCACAGTCTTGTGCTCTGAGAGTACTAGACTCGCTTGAGAAGTCGTCATCTTGGATGTTCAGGTAATCATGCTGTGATAAATTAGCCTCATCAGTTGCATTACCTGAATTCATGCATGTTATAGCATTATTTTGCTCTGAATCAACCGGTGCAGACAGTTCTTCCTTTGAGCCTTCAGGAGAGCTAGGAACATCAATTGACTCGGAACAATTTCTTTCTTTATTTTTATCCTTTCCTTTTAGCCTTTCCTTTCTCCTAAGCTTTTTCTCCCTTTCTTTTGTTCTTTTCCTCTCCTTGCGCTCTTCTTCTTCACGTTTTTCCTTTTCCTCCTCTTCAAGAAGTTTTGTCTGCAAATACATCATATATTTATGATTTCAGAGAAAGTATAATCACATGACACAGAAGCGAGATCTAGGCTTTTTCATTTTATTTTCAAAAGTCTGTTCCTAATAAAAGGATAATAATTAAGACCTGCTTTTCTAATGTAACGATCTCCTTGCATGCAACATGAACTCGTTCCTCCAGCAGTTTTAGTGCAAGACAAACGAATATGCTATGCGCATTTTGACGTGCCGTTCCTTCTCTAAAAGCCTTTTCTACCTGTAAATGTAGACAGTTAGCAGTTGAATAAGATGTCTACACACACAACAAGCATGGGCAAAAAGATAATGTAAAGAAAAAACATCAAAATTCAAAAGATAATGTAAGGATACTCATATAAGTGGAATAAAAAGACACTTGATCAAAGCAAAGCATGCCTGTTCTTTGAATATAACTGTAGCAGCATCTAGAAGAAACTCCCGAGCAAGTTCAGGGCTCTTTGCATGCTTTTGTGGACGGGCGCATTCTCCATCAAGCTCATTCCCATCTTTGTCTATCAAATCATCATCCTAGAAGTAAGCAATGTATAATTAACGGATGAAATTAGACGACATTCCTCAAACAATTCATAAAATTCCATGAACTTTGGACAATAGAAGGAAATCCAATTTCCTTAATGTGAAGTACCTCTTCTTCTTCCGCCTCTTCAGCATGCTCAAAGAATCTTTTTATACTTTCTCCTTTTGTGATTGTAACATAACCATCCCCTACAATTAGCCTGCAATGTACGCACTCTTGACCTTTCAATGCATGAGCTTTAACACAAAACTCAGTACACCGTCCATCTAGTTTCCAAGCTCGGAGGGTAATGAAGCATGCACTCAAGCCTCCAAGATCTAAGCCACTAGCTTGAACACATCCACTCGTTCCAACATTTTCAAATTCCAAAATGTCTGATTTTCCTTCAGTTGTCCCCACAGCCCACTCAAAGTGATGATACGATCCCACAGTATCCGCAAATGTTTGGCGCCAATCAGCTTGAATTGAGTCATCTGATACCTGAAAAAAGCAGATGTATTGAGTTAAGAACAATATCTAATATAGTCCCAACCAGAAGCAAGATAAACAATCAATTTCATACAAATGTTACAACAGACTCTCCCATTGAATTTGAAAACTAAATCACAGCAGATTTCACAGGCATAAAAATATGGAAGTCACACCTCATACTGAAAGGCGGTATCAGCAACACAAAACCAACTGGTGCAACGAGGTTCTCTACGCATGCGCTTAAGTTCTTTTAGCTCCTTGAATTCTCGAATAACATTTCTTCTACAGTCTCTGCAAAACCTCTTGCTGTCAAACCTGTAGATAAAAGGTAAATTTTTAGTAAAACAAAAAATATACAATTTAATTTACACACACAAACACAGCCCTCAAAAGCACGGCTTCATTTAGTTACAACAATATAAACCATATCATGCTAAAAATCAAATGAAAATTGCATATATTCTAAATAGAATGAGAACAAAATATAGGAAAAGAATTTTCGTTAGAACCAAGCAAAATCATTTGTCAAAATATAATGGCATTAAGACCCTCAAAACAATAGAAGACAAGAAGTTCTCCTTGGAAGTGGAATAAGCATGCAACCAAGCATTATGATGAAATTTTTAAATAAGTTGCCAAGGAAAATAAAATTTCACTTAATATGTCTTTTTGCTAAAAGGTCATGTAACTCCCAAGACAAAATGCTAGCCAAAAATACCAGATACACAAGAGCTGATAACTTAGACCCAACCTAACGTAACCTCGAAATTTTGCTTAAGAAATTATATAAAAGTACCTTGGTCATACACCTCTCCAGTGTAGGATCTTAAAACAACCCTAAGATTGAAAATCTTGAGTTGTGGGATTGAAAATCTACGAGTGACACAATATTAGGCCTAGAGTAGACTCCAATTCCATATTAGAATTGATAATAAACTTGGCCTAGCTCAACCCATAAAGCTAGTTTAATTTACTATAATGATTTCCTAGGGCATATTCCTTAGCTGACGTGGTATCCTAACACTCCTTTCAAAAACAACACAGTGCCCTCATAAGAGGAGTGGACATAATTGCATTAACTACATAGTTTCCTAAACACTCAATAAGAAACAGCAATTATCATTAGAATGGAGAATGAGTTGGTTCAACACTAAAAACAGCTTATCAATTAATTTATATTCTCCATATATACATGATAACAATACATAAATAACATCATCTTTCTTACCATATTGTCCATACCTACATTCCAAAACATCCTTTACATTAAAGATATACGCAGTTACTGGACTACATGTGATGCAACTGTACTAAATGCTCTAGATGGAATTCCAAGATAGGTGATTGTTCTATCACAATTTCATAACTCGGGTGACATCATTAGAGACTTTATATAATGTAAATGAGCACGACATTAAGATTGAACTAGTTTTTAAATCTTTACTTCTTCAATTTGTCAAAACCAGACTCATACTTTCTCTGATATTTCACATTGCTATAAAGCATATAAATAAAATAAAAAGATTCCGATGAAATATTTAAATAAAATACATGTTTGCAAGCATAAACAAAAAGGAATAAAATAAGAGATTTTGGAAATGAAGAAAATGATACGTTGATCCTATCAACTGCAATAGTTTGATATCAATTATCTCCCTTAAACGCTCACTTAAAAAGAATGCGAGAAGCGAGAAAGAATAAGAACAAAACAATCTGAATGCAAAAATGTTGAAATTTTCTAAAATATGTAGGTGTTAGAATTTGGGCTGGACCTAACTCATCCCTACAAAACCAGCTTGTAAGGTGAGGATTGCTCCCATTATAAACACAACCGAGGCCATATCTCTCTAAGCAATTTGAGACAAAATTCACCCCTTCAAACCCAACTCAATGAAGGTGTTGGGGGCTGCAACCAAGGCAAGCCAAAGTGCCGCCGCAATTAAGGAGACTAGGGGCAGACCACAATTAAGACGGAAATTCCAACAATAGGCAATAAAGTAGCCGTTAAAATATTTAATTATTTTATCCATAAAAATCAATAAATAAGAGTTTAATTATATTAACATTGTGGAATGACATATATGACAGTCATCATTCATTCATGCATGAAATGTGTTTTAGTTCTTTTCCAAAATGAATCAGCTTGTCAATTATGAAAAATTGTGAATTGTTAAAATTCCGCTATGCTATAGTGATAAATCGCAACTATATAGACTATTTTACAATAATTTGTATTAAATAAGCATATCGCAAAGCAGTAGCAGTTTGTCTAAATCCCGCTTTGCTATAGCTGTATATAGGCACTATAGCGGCTACTTAACAAAATTGGAATGCATTTGATGTAAGCATATAAAAGTAAACTACAAGTACCATAACGCGCTGCAACTAAGGAAAGTATACTCAAGGTAATAGCTGTATAACAGCGCTATAGCCGCTATTTAACAAAATTGGAATGCATTTGATGTAAGCATATAAAAGTCAACTAGAAGCACCATAACGCGCTGCAACTAAGGAAAATATACTCAAGGCAATAGCTGTATATCGGCGCTATAGCGGCTATTTAACAAAATTGGAATGCATTTGATGTAAGCATATAAAAGTCAACTAGAAGTACCATAACGCGCTGCAACTAAGGAAAATATACCAAGGCAATAAAGTAAAATAGGTAATAAAATACTTGATACTACTATTACTACAAGTTATTGTAGTCAAGTGGGACCAAAGTGGTTGCTAAGGCCCGGCATTATAAAATATTAACACACTATGGAGAATGCTCGAATAAATTGCTTCACCTGAACATGAGTCTCTCTATAAAATCTTCTTCCTTCATTCTTAGAAGAGATTGTCTTGTCTCGTCGCCTAATGCTGACCAAAAATCCACCAGCGTATCACATGAAAGTCTGGCAGTATGCAGGGCACAGGTTTCCCTCGTCCCATGCCCTCTACCATAACTCACTATACCTTGGCTTATCCAACCACGGCCTCCACCACCACAGGCATCGGGATAAAGCAGTTCTCTTTCCCGCTCTCTAGCACGCGCGCCGTCAAATACCTAATAAAATATAAAAAGGTAAGCTACCAAGCAGGGAAAATTATTGCATCACAAGAACTCAACACTTACAATTTGCAATCCTTTCAAAGACTTTGAATACAAGTAGCAGTCCATAAGTGTGAGTGAACCCTCACGCGTCGTCGTCAAACCTCCCCAAGGATGAACTGATGGATCTCGAATTTCTTCTTGGACCCCGTAGGAAACAGACGATCCACCGTAACTCTGATTTTTCATACCCCCGGGTCTGCCACAAGAAAACTGAAAACCTGTTCCATCTGGCTGCAAAGACTTTCCATACATAACAATCTGCAAAAAGCCTTCAAGGAGCAATCCGTTGCATCTTGAGCAGTACATGTTTTTCCGAGCTTGCTCAAAAAGGGTCTGCTTGTCTATTCTCAAGAGTTCCTGCCGTGCTTGTGGCGACAGCTCACTCCAAAACTTTATCACACAAAAAAAGTCATTGATCAAACAACCAATTTCCTATCTTTCAGTATTTTACATCATTACAACACAACCATTTATCAAAGCATGTTAAACAATCAAATATTATTATTGCATACAATAAAACTACATACTAACCCTCTCCCTAAAAAAATCAATTTTCTTACACCAGTGCTAGATCCAAATAAAGCTAGATCAACAACCAATTATTAACAACACAAAACCAATCAAAATAACGATCTAGCATAATCCCAAATAATAAAAACAAATAAATAAATCTAAGAACTAATATATATATATATATATATATATATATATATATATATATATATATATATATATATATATATATATATATATATATATATATATATATATATATATATATATATATATATATATATATATATATATATATATATATATATATATATTATCAAAAATAAAATAAAAATAGAAGAAAAAAAATTGGATCGAATATATATACCTTATGGAGCTGATTGTAGCCAACATCGTCACGATTCTTAGACCAAAATCCATTGGCAGAGATACAGTTCATCGCTGGTGATGAGCCATTACTGAATTGGGGTAATCCTGGCATATTTTTTCTAATCAATAACGATACACCAATGCTTTCATTCCTTTCTGTAAGGATCGAACTCTATTGAATTTCAATTCGATGTGAATCGGAATCGGGAGAGAATCAATAAAGAATTGACAAAATCTAGAATAATAATTCACAGATCGAGAATTGGGAGAGATTTAGAGAGAGAAAAGTAGAGAGGAGAGAAGAGGGGTGTGGTCGATTAGGATGAAGATGAGATTTGGTGTCATGTGAGACTGCGTGTGTTTGTGTAATGTGTCATGTCATCATGTACACATTCACATATACATATACATATGTGTATATATATAGTTGTAGAGAGGGAGGAGAGAGACACACTCTATATGTTAAGGGACTAGTGAATTTATAAAATTCAATTTATATAAAAAAAACTTGATTAATAAATTTTTTATCTAGAATGACATTTTTTTATTGAATAATGTTGACATTGTTACATTAGTTTTTAAATATAAATATTTAAATGGTAAAACTTAATTTATGAATGTATAAAAAAAAATTTAGATATGAGATGAAAATACATTGTACATATTTTCTTTTCTACATAACTGTTTTTTAAAATGTTGCGTTGTATTTATTAGTTAATAAATATTAAATATTTTAAATGTAAAGAAATATTACACACACATTTAATTAATATATTTTTAAAGTGTTAAATTATATAAATAATTTAAAATTTATTGGTTAATTTAGTGAAATATATGATTCTCATTGATTAATAATATAAAAATAATTTATATTATCTGTACACTATATTTTTTCTCGAAAAAATTATAAATTTTATTTAAATAGATAAAGATTAAAAATTTAATTAAAAATATTGTGAATATATACTTATAATACTAATATATTAGTTAAAAAGGTCCGATGCAACATTATTTAGCACTAAATTGTTAGGTTAAGGATCATATAGTAAATATTCACTAATTCATATCAAGTATGTTGAAATGAAAAAGAGAATGATGAATGCATTGCATCTTCATTGAATGGAGAAAACAAGAAAGGTGTTGAATTTGACTAATTGTGAATTACATAAATGGATATTAATATAATTTCTTTGAGTTCACCTAATTCAGTTATATGAATAATAAATATATAACTATTTATAAATATGTAAAATCCAAAAAATTGTTGGTTTTAAAGAAGAAGAAAAAAAGCATTATTTTTACTTAATAAAACTGAATTTCTTACTTATACCATTTAGTTGATTTTTATGAAAAGTTCTATATCAAATTATATTCCTACATTTAGAAAAATTTGCACAACAATATCGCCCATAGAGTGATTATAAAATGATATATATATATATATATATATATATATATATATATATATATATATATATATATATATATATATATATATATATATATATATATATATATATATATATATATATATATATATATATATATATATATATATATATATATATATATATATATATATATATATATATATATATATATATATATATATATATATATATATATATGCAAAATAACTTTTTTGGTCCCTTATCTTTATCTCGGGGTCCATTTTGGTCCCTTATCTTTAAAAAGTGTCAAATTGGTCCTTTAACTTTTAAAATGGTGTCACATTTATCCTTCCGTTAGTTGTCGTTAGTTTGTTTTTAAAAAAATTGCCATGTGGAATGCTGAGGTGGAATGGAGTGTTGAGGTGGAAGTGAAGAGGGCACGACTTAAAGAAGAAAATAGTGAAGAACGATTGAAAGCAAGATTGAAGAAGAAAACACTGAAGAACAGAAAACGATTGAAGAGAAGCAGAAAACGAAGAAGAAGAAAACGATTGAAGAGAAGCAGAAAACGAAGAAGAAGAAAACGATTGAAGAGAAGCAGACGATTCAAGAGCCAATCTCGAAAGGTTAGTTCATCTCTCTGATTTAGGGTTTTTCGGTATAGGTTCAGACAGATTTAGGGTTTATATAAATTTGTTAGTTTAAACGTTAATTACTTACATGGTATGCCCAGGTATCATGGAAGAATACATAACTCTGAAAATTCATCATAGTGGTGAGTTCATAGACAAAGGTCGTAGTGTATATGAGAATGGAGTAGTAAATGATTTTAGGGTAGATGTCGACAGATGGAGTTATTTTGAGCTAGTTGGTGTATTGAAAGACCTAGGTTACAGGGAGTTTGAAACAATATTTTACAAGGACCCTCAATTTGGGATGAACCGACTTGTTGATGACAATGGTGCTTTAGAAATTGCCGCAACAAGAGCCGCCATGTTAACAAGAGCCGCCATGACAATGGTCTTTTATGACAATGCTGGAATATTTGGAAGTGGAACTGAGTCAAACCACATACTGCCACACACTGCAACAAGAGCCGCCATGTTAGTGTGAATCAACACACTTCTCCAAGGCTATTCTGGTATTCGATTTGAAATCTTGGAAGCCATAACCAAGCTCATTAACAGCAACATCACCCCGTGTTTACCACTTCGAGGTACTATCACTGCTTCGGGAGATTTAGTCCCTCTTTCTTACATTGCTGGTTTACTAACAGGAATACCGAACTCCAAAGCTCATGGACCTTCTGGAGAAATACTTAATGCCAAACAAGCTTTTCAATTCGCTGGAATCAATTCTGATTTCTTCGAGTTACAACCAAAAGAAGGACTTGCACTTGTTAATGGAACTGCTGTTGGTTCTAGTTTGGCTTCTATTGTTCTATTTGAATCCAACATCTTGGTTGTCTTGTCTGAAGTCCTATCTGCTATTTTCGCCGAAGTTATGCAAGGCAAACCCGAATTTACGGATCATTTGACACACAAGTTAAAGCACCACCCTGGTCAAATTGAAGTTGCTGCTATTATGGAACATATTTTGGATGGAAGTGCATATGTCAAAGCGGCCAAGAAGTTGCATGATTGCACATGTTGAGAGTGGTATGATTGCACCCTGGTCCTTCAACTCATGTCTTCCACATTCTTGATTGCACTCTGCCAAGCAATTGACTTAAGACATTTGGAAGAGAACTTGAAAAACTCAGTTAAGAACATCGTAAGCCAAGTTGCTAAACGGACCCTTACAACTGGTGTTAATGGAGAACTTCATCCTTCAAGGTTTTGTGAAAAGGACTTGTTGAGAGTGGTTGATAGGGAGCATGTGTTTGCCTATATTTATTTGTTTCTCTTGAAAATTCTTTCTTTGTACTAGATTTGTGTAGCGATTATTATTAGATTTGTTATGCCTTTATCATCATTTCACTTTTCTCCAATGTTAAAGTGAAACTTGTAATTTACTTTTATAATAGAATTTCATTTGTTTGACATACATTTTTGGTTCATTTGTGCAACTATATAATATATTCGTTGACTAGTGTTTGGCCAAGTAGGCAGTGGTTAGTCAATCAATAAAAATAAGTATGTGTTTCTTTTAAGATAAGAGTAACAAATTAACATATTAGCATTTTCATCTAAAACAGATTAGCAGTATGTATGCTTGTGAAAAATTTATACAGACTTTTGGAGATAAAATGTCACTTATTATAAAGTATAAACTAATTCATGAGTAGTGATATAATGTTGCAGAATTGGAAAATGGGTCAAGATTTTGGATGTCTGATTACCTAATTATATTAATGACTGAATAATGACTATTAAAATTCTGAGTTCTGATAAATTAGAATCATTTTCTTATGGTGTTAAATTATATATTCTATTGTTTTCATGAAATAAAATCATATTGAGTTAAAACTTTGGCTAAAAGTGGGCTGTCATGTTAGGTAATAATAATTTGGATATTCCTCTTACATTCTACTGTTGTTGTCATAAACAAGTTTATGTGTTATGAACAAGTTTATAATTTGAAATTGTAAATTGAAATTGTGACATAATATATGCTGCTACACCAGAACTGTGACATAATTATTACAAGCTGCTACACCAGAAATTGTGACATAATTTGAAATTGAAATTGTGATATAATCCAAACTGTGACATAATTATTACAAGCACCACCTATAACCAAAACTGTAAATTGAAATTGAAAATATATGCTGCTACACCAGAACATGTTATACTATTGCAAACTTATGCTGCTACACCAGAACATGTTATACTATTGAAAATATTGCAAAACATTGCAAATATACCAATATGCCAATTATTGATGTTGCTGCTGTTATACCAATTATTGCAAATATGCCAATATGCCAATTATTGCAAATATTACCAAACATTGCAAAACATTGAAATTATTACAAGCATCACCTACACCAGAACATGTAAATTGAAAATATTGCAAATATGTCAATTATTGTTGCTGCTGCTGTTATACCAATTATATGTTTCTGCTGTTATGCTGAAATATTGCAAAACACAATACAATCCAATTATACCAATTATATGTTGCGGCTGTTATGCTGAAATATTGCAAAACACTTTACAATCCATATATTGAAATTGAAATTAACTGTTGTTATGCTGCTGCTTTATGTATGTTGCTGCAAATATTGAAATTAACTAAATTGATACAATACATATATTAAAATCCAACTATTACATTCATGTTGAAGTCATACAAACTTTAACTAAACATAATACTTCCAAACAACCCGTAATAACCTAACTACCCCTAACAACTAATACGATGATAATAATCACAAACATCAAATTCAAAATCTTTTTCCACTTCATGATATTCTTCATTTCAATTTCAAGTTTCATCAGCTTTTTTCCTAATTCTTCATTTTCCATTGCCGCTTTTTCAAGTCCCTTCGTTACCACACCCAACCTATGCATCCAAAATTGCTCCTTCTCATCACACATCTCCTCATAAAACCAACCAAAGAAGCCACAACCAGCTTGCATACCTCCCTGTAAGATTAATTGTTTAGAGGATAATAAACAGAAACATAATTTACACAAAAACATAACTTGAACAGAGAACAAAACCAGCTTGCATACCTTATAATTTGGACAACCCCAAAAAAGTTTTCCCATATTCT